ATCGACAGTGAAAACTGCATTAATAACATCGTCTGTCATTTCATTTTTCAAAATATCACCAGTGTTTTCTTGTAAGACAACTTCCCCCCACAAATTATCCAATGGTATGCCCCCCCCCCCAACAAGATGATATGGTTGCTCCCAATAACTGAACACCCTTTCCTGAACACCAAAAGTACACGAGGAGCCGCAGAATGTAAGCACGCCCGCATGATACCCATGATGCTTTGCAGGCCCTGCGCGTGTCGGAACCGATGCCGGGGCCTGCCGCGTGGATTAGTCCCAAGAATGCTTCGTTCCCGTGTTTGTGTCCATGCTGAGTTACACTTCCCTAATCATGAAGCCATGGGGCTTCTGGGGGGGGTGGTCAGGGGATTTCTGTTTTGTTTTCTGTAGGTGCGTTTCAGGAAATACACTGTTTATATATACAGCTTTAGCTGCTTGTCTTTAGTTCTGTGCGTCACCCTGTCTGCTGTCATCGATTGCCCCAAGTGAACATTCATCCTGAAACCAGATCGAAACTGCAGCGTTTTCTGCTTTCTTGCTTTCCTGCAGTGAGACGGCCCTGTGACTGTCCCCGGGTTCGGCCTCCGGCCGGCTCTGCATGCTGCCGATCACAATACGTACCACCCCAACCAGCAAACAGTCGTACCCTCTGAGCAGAAAACATTAATTATCCACTCTCTTTACTGTTCATTTAGTTCTCATCTCTCTGTTTTTTTTATGGGATGTGCCCGTTCTTGTGGTGTCTAACGTGAAACCGCTTCTGCGTTCTGCAGGGGCGTCATAAAATCTGAATAATTGGTAGAATCTACAGAATGGGTAAATTCAGAAATTTTTAAACGCTCTTTAGGACGGACAGAACTTACTTAACGGGGGGCAGGACCCGACTGGGCAAATGAATAACCCGACTGAGCAGATCAACCCTTCCCGTTAGGCTGAGGCCAGAAACGACTCCTCACAACGCAGTTAGGCCCTTCAGCATCTCCACTAGGGCAGCGTGGCGAGCGACAGCTTTGGCTCTGGAAAGACAAGGATGGAATATGAGTGTGAGACGTTTAAAGATGCAAGATAATGAATTATTAGATGTTACATGCGTCACTGTGCATGTGTGTTTGTGTATTCTCAGGTCATGGCTGCATCCACGGAGAGATCTATACAGTATCTGTGCACAAGTAAAGATGGAACATCGTGCCTTCTTTAATAGTTCTGATTGGTATTTGTGAAGGAAGACTGTGATTGTTTTGTGGACATTATCTGGCTTGTTTTTGACAGTTTTTACTTTGAAATAGACGCCCTTCCTCTTTGGACCTCTCACACCGTATTGCATTGCTTCACGTGGTATGTGGATCGTGACCCCACATTGACCATTTGTAGTTGTTGTCCCACGTTGGGACTGCGTGGCTGCCGTGTCCCTCGACTCAGCCTTTGGGGAGGGGGGAGGGCAGTTCCGCAAATCCCCACATGTCCCACGACAGCTGGGTGATGCAGACAGACAGGGATATCCAGAAAGGCACATCACAGGGAGAGCCGCCATCTTGGCAATGCCTTCCTCATGCTGACGGACAAGTGGTGTAATAACAAAGGTCAATCGTCGGGGTCAAATGATGCCATGGCAGGCCTCTGCCTATCGCTGCCCCCAGGGTCAATCCGGGGCTTTAGCTAAATGCTCTAAATAAATACCAGTGCCATCGTTTACATAGCCCCCTTCTGCCATTTGCTGGGGTCCTGGGACTGAACCAGTGAGTGTTAACGGCTAATTTGTTCCATGCCATCTGTTTACTAACCTACCGTTGCCATAACCAGTCAGCCTGTCACAGGGAGAAAAAAGTGCCCTATTTCTGTTGCGTTCAGGGTTTTTTTTGTTTTGTTTTGAGCAGAACATGTACAGTAAAGAGTAATCTGTGGAGTGAAGCTTCAAAGATGCAGATTTCTCGTCTGTGGTTCAGGACACCCGAAACCGAGAGATATCTGCTGTCATTCTGCGAAACTGTACTTTCAAGTAGCCGACCGC